AAACAGCAGAATAACTAATAGTCCTAGCGACAAAACTTGACAAAACGACACTAAACAAAAAATGACGTCCAAATCTTTGGAAACCAGTAGAACGTGATAATTAAAACCTCCATGTCGATTCGGTTCTCACGGCGAGTTCGGTTTCTAAATCTGCTATACTTAGGCGATCGGACAATGCGGGTCGACGACCTGCCGACTGGCGTGACCAGTGACCAATGACAAGAGAAAATGGCTGAGTAGACTCGATTGACAATGTCATGTATAGCATCAACTAGTCACCTCTTAACGCTTCAGCCAAACCAACGCATGCAGATCGCGTCAGCGATGGCGATCACTGCGCGTTGGTTTGGCTGTTAGCTTAATTTGTAACCGCAAAAGATGGCACAGCGTTAAGTTTATCTGCACTTATATCACTCACTGTAGATTGAATTAATGAATTAATTGTAGATAAATAAGGTAACGCGATATTATCATATCATTGCCAAATGGCCGTGAGCGTCTACCGAGAGAACAAATCAAGGGTAGAAGCACCCTGCATCTCTCTTTAACGTCAGCTGTGAATGCTGTGTACTGCAAAAACTTTTTTATATTTTATTTATTTTAGAAAATCATCACCTCAAATATCGATGATAGTACATTGATGCCCTTGCCCCACGTTTTAAAGCTTAAATGATAGTTTTCTCACTAGTGGCAAACGAGCCTTCTGTATCTGTCTCAGTTATGTCATATCTCAGAATGGGTTTGTCTCTAAGACACGGATATCTAGGCTCCATCCATACTTGGAGTTTTGATGTGGTTTGCATTACAATTAGGCTGACCAATTAACAAATTCAGCTACTACTGATTCTTGTACTGCCTAAAACTTATTTAGTGACAGTTTGATTTTTTGTACCTTTTTGACGTGTAAAACAATCTAACAATTTGAAAGATACTGCCCAGTAAAGATGTCCGGTTATCACAGGTCATCACCTTATTTATCTGCCAGATATTAAACCTATCTGAAACAAGATAAGTAGTAGATAGCCTGTGAAACGTTTGGCATCAAGTTTTTCTGATAGGTATGTTCCTAATAGATTTTCTGGAGATATCTGACAAAATTAAATGAAGTCACCGCTGGCTGACTGACCAGCTATCTTCATTTCTTAGATAGTGTTTGTGCATTTATTATACTGAAACTCAATTAGTCGCTGAAATTGAGACCATTAAGCTGGTAACATTGAATTTATGCATAGATTCAGTTTAATCTGTAACATTTGTTGATACCGTTTGATAGAGCTCGTGAAGCACTTTCAGGATAAGTAACCAAGATTTTCGATATCTTGTAGTTTAGAAATAATCGAGTGAGAATTATCGTTTCCACCCTGTATAAGTGCTATATCTATATCACAACATTCACAACGCGAGCATAAAATGAAACAACCATCAAGTACCTAGCAACTTTCCCATGGCCAGTCTCTCAACCGGAAGATTATGCACTTTGTAAGTAGGTACTTACATGAGTTATTATAAGAGCTGTAGTGTAAGATAAGCTTGAATGGAAATTAAATGTAATGGTCTGTGCCTGGGTTTGACTCCTGGAAGAACAAGAAAGACTTTTGGTATTAATAATTTGCTATGTTTGGATCAAGAACATTAACGCCCGTGTTAACAAACTATGCTTGCTTAAGTGTAGCAGCAAATCGAATGCGCAGCGTTGATTGGATCGTGTCACCCTGTGCGTCCACGCGCACTGTGAGACCTCATAGTAATGCCCGTGTAAAACGGGCGTAGTATGTGGAAATGGGAGCCAAGTTCAGCGTCAAAGTCAATTGATAAGCATGCCAAATTCTGATAATTCAGTGCTAGAAACTCGGTTACTTTTGTCAGCTTCTTTTTCAAGGGTTTTAAACAGTATTTATAAATTTATTCATATTGATGTAACACTTTATCCAACGAAGGCAATCTCCTATTTTTTCATAATACTTAGCACTTTTTCATTTCATTTCAAATGTCTACATTTATATTTCAATAAAAATCCAATCTATGAATCCACCAGAAACAGTACTAATGGTCACCAAATGTAGTCACACTAGAGATTTCAAATGCGCGGGCGTTTGAGCTTGTCGCTGCCATAAATTACGCTGCGATAGTTTTGGAGAGCGCTCAAATCGTAAACTGCTATCATTAGCGTCCTACACGATGGTGGTATAAATTTAAGAATCGATTTTAGTCACAACTACAAATCGATGCTTTTTGGACGATACTGCATTCGATCCGAATCCGAGAAAACTACTGAAATACACTGAACCACAAAGAAAATCAATCAATCTCTAGCCTTAGTAAGATAAAACTTCTTATAAGGCTAGAGTTCACTGTTCACCAGTTGTAAAGATACGAAATAGTTCTTTTTCTTGGTTGATTAGCACGACTAAATTGCGTAACTTGGCTACTTTTTATCAGTCTGATGTTTCGATTAATTAAGTACATTACTTATAGTTGAAAACAAATGAAAAATTTGTGGTGTACTATCGCTAGGAATTAAAGTTTTTTGCCGTCACCAGCACATTTTTTGTGATTAACTGTTGTATGTTCTCTTAGAAGTCTCGGAATTCGGGATATTATTATAGTTTCTGTAGTTTCAGTAGAGGTTAGACCGTAAAAAATAACAATAAAATAACATTTCATTCTTACTACTCCATAAAAATAAATTATCATCGTGATTTTCATTCAAGTTCTTTCTTACAGTATTCAACCGATGAAACTACTAAAATAGCATCTATTCCAAAGTACATAAGACGCCACATAATTCAGCTACATTCCGTAAATAAGTTCATTCATGACCGCCGTGTGACGTCAATGATTTTACGCAAAATGACGTCATGCCGCGACCTACCCGACTCATACATAATATTCAAGTACTGAGTACGTACTACGTAGGGGGCGCTACCAGCTGGGCTGGGAGGGTGGGCGCTTCCTTATTGCATTATCCTGGTAACCTTGGGGCGATAGTGAAAAAAAAACTCGCTTGAACTTTGTTAAACCTTTTTAGGGTTCCGTAGTCCTGACAAGGAACCCTTATTTTTCTTGGTACCGAATTTTTTTTGCTTCTTTATCACTTTTGAAAATATTCGTTGTGAATATTTTTTATTTGTATTTTTTTAAATTATCGTCACTTTTTCCCGCCGTTTCGCCCGCTTTTTATGGCTGTCACAGAAAGACTAACCTTTATCCCTTTCAAAAAACGGGATAACAACTATCCTATGTTATTCCCTAGATCTACAAGGCGCAGGGTAGAGTTAGGTAAATTAAGTAAGAAATAAGTAAGAGATGGCGGGTTTGATCCCTGTTCAAAATGTTCAAAAAATTATTATCTCTCTTTGTCAATAAATAAGCACACTTGACATTGGCGAAAATGAGGTTTCCAAGACCCAAGTTATTGTCTTTAAAAACTTATATAAGTAACATAACCCTGCTTCTAGCGCAGTCGGTTAAGAAGAAGAAAAATATTATTACGTTTTTTTCTTGCATGCATGAATAATGATCGTTTTAAAACTAATACAAGAGTGGATCCGATAAAATTTTCGTGGAATTGATGATTCATATCAATGAACTGTTGGTTGGTTAAGAATATATTCGATAAACTTTACGGTTAACGGTTTTGCTTGTGACTGTTTCATTCAATATTATGGACATGGTGATCTCATAGGTAATCGATATCGAATTAATTCTCTTATAGTCATAATTAAATTGCTAACTATTATAAATAAATGCGTAACTCGGTGTTACGTTCTATATTAGCTAAAATAAGATATTATGAATGCGTAACTGTTACGTTTTCACGTTTTAAACATTAGGAAATACACATAATTGATTAAGTATTTTTTAATAGTGTAGGAGTGACTGTAAACTGGATGGATAGACAGACAAACGCGTTCGCGATGATCACAAAGCGAAACGTAATATTTATTAAATAATATTATGCTCAGGTATTACACACTGTAGGTATCTAGTTCCAAACTAAGCAAAGCTAAGCCCACTATGGGTAGGTACTAGACAACGGTTAAAAACACATTTTTTTTGTAAATACATAGTAGTAGTAGCAGAATAAAATATCTAGAGATTCCAACAAGATGGGATTCAGCCAACACTCATTTTTACTCTGCGGGAATCGAACGCGCGACCTTTGACATAATATTCCCCTAAACACCAGGCGTTATCATTAATGTATGTTTTTATTTAAAAAGTTTCCCCTCTCTCCCCCAACTTGAATGAGGGGGTGGCGGGCATGAATGGGCCACCCGGGTGGCGCCCCCTACCGAAAACGGTAAGAACTTGCGTGTTGTTCTGTTTGCAGTAATGCATAAGCATAAGAGTTGCAAGATAATGAGGGAAAAATTAGGATTTAAAAGTTCATTCATTCATATTTTGAAAACTTAGATAGGTAGGTAGGTAATAATGTACTCGCAAATGTGACTTGACAGCAGATCGGTCTAGATTTTTGTAGCAAATTCGCTCTCACCTAAAATTAAATAAGATGTCGCAATCTCGCAATACTTAATTTTATTGCTGTCGAACTACATGGTAAAACCACTCCAAGTTATTTTTCCATGTTTTTACCGGTGAGAATAATAGTAAACACACGAACACACGAAAACATGAATGGTAATCTATTTCAGAAATCAGAGGCTTAGTTTTTTTTTAAGACTAGCTGTGTCCGCGACTTCGTCCGTGTGAAAATCGTTATCGAGCAGTTTTATGTCACGCGAGAACTTTCATCAGTAGGCCTAAGATGCGCGCCGTGATAACTTTTATCGACGTCAAAATGTATGGGGAAAATCGATAAAATGGCGTGATAACCGCTTATCGTGGCGCGCATCTTAGGCCTACTGCTAAACAAGCTATGTGATGTGCCCCGCTCATTGCCATTTTAGTTTGACAATTCTGCGGGCTATGTCGGTTACTTTGGTTTTCCTGAGCTTCTTTAAGAGTACCTATATTAATTGATTTCTGTCTTGTTCCAGGCGTGGTATGGACAAGGAGAATGGCGAGGGCGCCGAGGCTGCCGGCAAGCCGCCGGCCCCCGACCAGCTGCTGGACGCGGCTGGACTCTTTGGGGGTGAGTTTAGAGTTCAAATTCCTTCAACCTAAGTTACACAGGCTCGTATATTGTCCCAATGGGGAGTATCCGCAGCAGGGCACAGGAATTTCCTATCAGCCTTTGTGTTTCCAAAATTATACGATCTTAGTCTTCAAGGCTCGAGCTCGAGTGAATGGTCATCTTCTGGGTAAGCTCGTTCCATCATAAATTGCATCTGTACTGCGCCCTGTCTGGTTGAGATTGATTATATCAAGATTAAGCCTATAGCATATTTTATGCCATAATATACCACTAAAGAAGCTATTGCAGTGTACCGTTCCCAAGCTCTAGTGGGCATTGTCATGTTTTAAGGAATAGGTACGGTCCATCTCATGGAGAGAATCTCCACATAAAAAGCAACTTAATATGCCGGCCCAGATATTCGGTACATTATTTAGGTCTCCCGTCTCACTGACTTGTCTATTATCGAATCACGTTTGGAGCTAAACGTCGCGTCGACCTTCAATGAGGGTTTTCGCGATTGAAAAATCCGCCAGATGGCAATACGTAGACGCGAGGTCCAAATGCTGCGTGATTGGTGGATATTGACATATCTGTCAATGTCATGTCAAAAATAACCAATCATGCAGAATTTTGACCTCGCGTCTACGTATTGCCATCTGGCGGATTTTTCAATCGCGAAAACCCTCATTGTTGTAAAGTGGAAGAAAAGAGTAGAGATGGAAAGAAGTCGGTTAAAGAAAGGTATAAACCTCGTAAGAGAGAGCTGAAAGAGAGCCAGAGTCGCTACGAGATTGCCCTCGCCCAGAGACAAAAGCAAACAAAAATGGCCGACTCGGGACATCGATCCTACCGTCCTACTTACACTGTGACTCAGTCTATCATTAAATTAACCTTGAACTGCTTTGAACTGTCAAGGTCAAATTCAGACTAGAAAATAACCTCATTTCGTCACTCGGTCTGACAAGTATGGCCGACTGTATCTATAGCATTATATGCTTTATTTATTGGGTCATAGATGTTATATTAGTTTGACGATGTAGTAGGTAGGGTAAGTGCGCTAGTTTTCGTCCAATTATCGGAGTTGCCAACTTTGTGATGCGAAATGAATATCTTAAAATACCCTTACTCATATGTATCATATGTCATTTTAGTCCTTATATAGTCTACTTTACGTTAATATTATATGACAATAAGTAAATACCACGGGTTTTTTTATAAAAAATATTTTATGCAAAAGAGGCCATTTCACTAGTTTTCGTCCAAAAAAATCAGTTTTCGTCCTAGTGTACGCTAGTTTTCGACCACTGTGTAGAAAAAAGGGTGCAGTTGAATTATTAACTTAAAACCAATTCTACAATACAGTAACTATGGATTGTGGTATATCATTTGAAAGGTAATTTTGTTAGCTTTCAAATGATATCAAAAAGATTTAAATAAGTTTCTTACCTAAATTTAGGAAAATATTGCAATAGGTCGAAGGACAAATGGACGAAAACTAATCTACAGGAATAGCTAATTTTGGTTTTCGTCCACCCCAGTGCTTGCTCATGACGTCATGGACGAAAACACAACAACGTTTAAAGCTGTTTTTTGTTTTCGTCCACATCTTTTTAACGGTTTTTATGGGTTTATCACTGTTAAAAAGTGGACGTAAACTAAAATGTTTAATGTAATAGCAATAAAGATCATATTGGAAGAAAAAACATTGTATTTTGTAGGTCCATTGAAGTAAAATGATTATTAAAAATATTAACTAGGTGTCAGGGTTTCCGTCCACGTGGACGAAAACCAAAATCTTGCAAAATTGTTATGCTAGTATTAGTCCACTTAATTATCTAAGATTTCTATACAAAAACTTTAATAAACCCTTAAAATAGTGTTTATTATGCTAATAATTAGACATACGTGCCAAAAACATTACGTAAAGTAGCTAAAACAGTAATTAAACATACCATGAAAGTTCCCTACCGGCACGTTTTTTTTCTAACTTGACGACGTTTTCCATTCACCTGTGTGCAGCAGCAACTTCCGTAGATTTTTTTGGAGTTATTACTTGTCAAATTACATTTTCATGCAGGCAGAACTGTTACTTAGATATTATAGATTGTAACAAGTCCAAACTTGCACGGAAAGTTAGGTTTGTATTCTAATTTTCCGTATTTGTTTGTGGCAAGTCGGTCAAATGGACGAAAACAGGAGCTTTTTTTTTTTATCCACAACGAGGAAGCTCTTGGCCTGTATCTCACCTGATGGTAAGTGACGATCAGGCCGAAGGTGGAAGCGAGCTTCACCCGGAACCCTCAACCACGGAGGAACTGGCTATCTTACCTCTAACTGCCGGAACACAACAATGCTGTTAACATTGTTGTTATGGCGACAGACTTAGGTAAGATGGTGGTAGCTAGCCAGGCGGACTTAGAACAAGCCCTACCACCAACCAAACCGAACAGAAAAATCTGCCCCCATTGGGAATCGAACCCGGGACCTCTGCGTCTGAAGCAGGTGGTCTTACCACTAGACCACAGAGGCGGTCGGCGGCAGCTGGACGGAAAACCGGCGCAATTACCCTATTTGATAACGTTTTTGAAATTGACGAGGCTCACTGCTTGTCTTAATTTATGTTCAAGTTTAACCACTGCTGCACTGATCCAATTTTAGAATAAAATTGGGTATACAAGAAATAGATTTAAACTAAAATAGAAAGACACAGGTCTTAACGCGATGTTTATTAATGAGTTACATTATGTACTCACGGCTTGAGGTTTCTGCTATGCTGCAGCCGTGGTCACAAGCAGACTGGACTGAAAATCTTAAAATAGATTTAACTTTGAAAGTTTGGAGAAGAACAGGTCATATTAAACGGTACTTTTTCGTCGCAAAAATAGAGCTGTAGATGAAATAGGGGATGAAAGTTTGTATAGATAGGGCATCAAACTTTCTCGTGTAATATTATTTTAAAATATACAATTATTCTTATCTGACTTGTTGATAAAATGGGACCACCTATCGATTAAGATAAGAATTTTGAAAATCGGCCCACAATAAATTAACGGAGTAATCGCTAAAAATACATACAAATGAGCATAGAACTTCGTACTTTTTTGAAATCGGTTAAAAAGGTCACCCACGCGATAGAGACTCTGTGATAGACCAAAACTCACGAAGGCGAAGACAGAATCTATTTCCAAATAACATAACCCTCCTTCTGGCGCAGTCGGGTAATAAACTTAAAGCAGCGAGCGAGCCTACTCCAACCTACTTCTATTGTTCCATATCATCATCAATATTCAATAGGTAATTATAACCGCTCCGTAATTCGTCTTCATCGAAGACTGTCGGTTAAATGGGCATGTACGCAACCGCCATTTTGAAGTGATGATTTGTGAATGCACTTATGCCAATAAAAGTACGGACAGCACCAACCTAAAAACTGCGTCTTATACAGGGTGAAATTTAATTGGCATCCTTTTAAAATAAGACTTTACTCATGAATTCATGATACATAGTACGTTCCCCAAATATGAGACAAGTCCAATGAGTTAAAATAGGTGAGAGAGAGCAATAATTAAAACCTTGTGCATATGACAACCCACTAGGTGGACCGACGATCTGGTGAAGGTCACGGGAAGAGCCTGGATGCGGGCAGCGCAGGACCGCACGTTATGGAAATCCTTGGAGGAGGCCTTTGTTCAACTGTGGACGTCATTTGGCTGAAACGAACAGATAGATGACAGCACATCAAGCTAACTCTGTGGCATCTTAATTCGAAATATATTTATTTTGCAACAAAAATGTCTAGTTTGGTTTGCTGGTGACTCTACAATCGTTTAAAACTATAAAAGCTCACTTATACAAAAATAAAGACAAAAAACTCATTGGATTTGTCTCATATACGGAGAATTTACTATGTATCATGAGTAGAGTCTTATATTAAAAGGATAGATGACAATGATTGTAACTTCACTCTGTATAGTGGTAATAGTATAGCTGACAAAGGTGACTCGTTTCTTCCGCCACTTCTTCTCAGCACCAGCCCATATGTTGTCCCGAAGTGGTATAAGCGCGCTGGAAAGGTCATATGTACTGAATAAACTATTTAAATAAATAAATAAATCTTTGGACAATTTCACACAGCGCCAGCTAGCCCCAAAGTAAGCAACTTAATGCTTGTGTGATGGGTGCTAGCTTAACGGATATACTACTTAACTTTTTTGATTTGATAGGTGAAAGAAAAATGCATAGTCCGATGTATTGTTGACTGTACAATGCGTTTGCTCCGTTGCAAAAGGTATTGCCTAATGACGTTATACAAAGGACTTAGATGACCCACTTATGACTTAAATAATGAGTAATCTAAATATGTAACTCAAAGGTGACTGACTGACTGACTGATATAGTGATCGCACAGCCCAAACCACTAGACGGATCGGACTGAAATTTGGCATGCAGGTAGATGTTATGACGTAGACATCCGCTAAGGATCTTACAAAACTCCACCCCTAAGGGGGGTAAAACGGGATCCACGTGTACGACGAAGTCGCGGGCGGCCGCTAGTGTAAAATAAAACTCAAAGGAAAGGAATTTTAGCTGACGTTCGATAACTGTTATAAATGTAGAGACAAACATGATCTTTGTTGAATTTAGGATACTTGTTACAATACTTCCACGATTTTGGCCATAAAGTAACATCAACGCCGAAACTAAAGCCACGGATATACCAGGGGAGAAATAGAGCAACATGTTGCGGAACTACTAGATAGGTACTACCTAGCCTACGTGAGTAGGGTAAGTGCGTTAGTTTTCGTCCAATTATCGGAGTTGCCAACTTTGTGATGCGAAATTAATATCTTAAAATACCCTTACTCATATGTATCATATGTCATTTTAGTCCTTATATAGTCTACTTTACGTTAATATTATATGACAATAAGTAAATACCACGGGTTTTTTTATAAAAAATATTTTATGCAAAAGAGGCGATTTCACTAGTTTTCGTCCAAAAAAATCAGTTTTCG